ATGCTATTTGCTGAGAAGACATTATAGAGAATTTTTAGTGCCATTCCTTCTCAAGTGAGCTATTTTGTTTCTTGGCTAACAGAACCCCAGCTTCAAAATCTGCCTTCTCCACCAATTTAAAGAGTTGTTGATTTACTGATGAGTCCTCTTCCTAGAGCAAGAGGAGGAAGGTCTCTGGAAACAGAAGAAATGTCCTGGCTCCATAAAATGGGAAACAGAACTCCTTGGAAATGCCCAAGTCACTTCAGAAAAGTGTTATAAAACATCTGAAAAATACTGCTAAAGATTCAAGAAAATTAAAATCGACTTCAGTTCTACCTGTCTCATCTTGAACAAATCCAGAAAACTTTTCCAAGCTTCTGTGTGCTCATCCTTCATACAGAAACAACAGCAACTGCTTAACACCAGAGGTGACTGTAAGAACAACTATAAGTCAAAGCACTTTTCCAAGCTAGAAAATGCTCTGTGAGAGGTAGATAACAGCAATAGTTTTCTATTATCAAGTACACTGCATCTGGTAGCAATCCTAGACTCTTTTATCCTGAGACCTAAGCTACTAGAAATTCCTATGTGTAAGTTATTTTTAAATTGTAATAATCATGTGTGAAATATATACATATGATTCTAAACATCATCAAAAAGTAATGGAAGTGACAGTAACATACACTACCACTAAGAGCTTTTTATTATCATATTTGGCAATTAATACCCAGGTCGGGGTCAGCCGTGCGCATGCCTGCGCACCCCATGCAGAAGCACAGCCCCCTCCAGAACAGAGACTAACCCTTCTCAGCCTTGGAACGGTGGAGCATAGTGACAAGAGCACTGTATTTCTGAATCCTTCACACATCTGTGATCTTATGGAAGAAGCTAAGTTCTAGAACAGTTTCTCTGTACTGTTTTGGAGTACTCCTTTGGGAACCCAACAAAAGCCATGAGCATTTTCCCCACAAAATTACCTGAAAATGTAAAATTTTACCCTAGAGTCTATTTGTTCTTTTGTATATAATAGAGGATAATGATAATTACCTCTCAGGGTATTGGGGCATCTATTATCAGAAACGAAATATTTAAAAGCACTTTGGAAATTATAAAGATTGTTACTATCACTACGTTTTTGTTTTATTTTATTTTATTTTATTTTTTTTGGAGAATGACTCTTAGTATTGACTCTACAAAATAAACTGACAGAAAAGTTTAACAAGCCTTACTCCATACTCACAGTTGCCTACTATGTCCGCCCAATAAAAAAAAATGGGCAGGGGATCCAAACAGACATATCTCCAAAGAAGATACAAGAGCGGCCAATAACCACATGAAAGATGCCTGACATCCTTAGTCATTAGGGAAATACAAATCAAAATCACAAACGAGACACTACTTCGAGCTTCTAAAGTGAAGGCCTCAATCTCCTCATCTGTAAACTGGGGCATGTAAACTGGGGCAGTCGACTAGACAACCTCATGCTGGTATCTGGCCTTTTGAGTTTGGATGGCTGCTCTAACCACACGTTGAATGTTGATTTGGGGTTTATATCATCTGCCACAAGTGTTTGTGCTACAAAAGGGCGACCTCGAAGGGTGTACACTTTATACCTGTGGTGGTTGCTCCTTTTAAGTTGTCAGGCAGGTAAACATAGGAACAACCCCTAGATTTGTACATTAAAAGTGTCTCAAAAGTTATTACCTCTGCACCTCTCAGCCCTCTGCATCAGGCCTTGTGACAAATCCTGCATCCTTAGCAAACATTTGCCGAATTGGGGGGTAATAATGACAACATAAGAAATACTTCCAAACAGTGCAGAGTTTTCTGTTAATACCATTCATAAACAGGAGTTCCAGAAAGTACCGAATAAGAAAATTTCTCCAAATTCTTTTCTAAATATGCTATTTTCAGCATGTGAAAATGCATTATTCAACTAGCTACCATAACATTAGAGCTTTGCCCTAGGAACTGAGAGTAGAGGTATGTGGAAAAGTTTACAGAATATTTAAAAATACACTTGCATACCCACATATAAAGCTGTATTCACATTCACACACACATACCATCATTCTTGCAGTGAAGGGAGATGATAGAACTGGGCATAAAAAAATTAGCAGCAACAAATGCAATAGTATGAATGGTGGGGTAACAGGACTGTGGCCCCACTCCCTGCTGTGACCCTTCCCTAGCAACAGGAACAAGATTCCGGAAGGAAGATCTGTGTCCCTGCTACTTGCTTGAACACCATCATTCAGCGTAAAAAGGCAAGTTTGGCTCAAAGCATAAAAAAGGCAAGCTTGGCTCAAAGAATATTAAATTGATTCACCACTCAATGAATTTTATAACCAAAGTACAGAAAACAACATACCAGCTCAGCCCATGACCAGCAGCACCTCAGCAAGTGGGCAGCTTGTCCAGACTGTACACAGACAAACACGTGAATGCACTGTCCTCACAACCACATGGTGGCTTATAACAAATTCATGCTTGCTCAGACAGCATAAAACATTTGTTAAATGAAAAAAAAAATCTGACCTTACAGAGAATGGCATTGTCCACCAATCACAAACACGTGTACATACATAAGCACAGGTAACACACACGAGTGTGAGGCTTTTTCCATTGGCTGTAACCAACCTGAACTACCTTCTAGGACCATCAGTGGGATGGAGCAGTGTTGTCTCTACAGACTGCTCAGGCTCGCTGAAACCACGAGCACTTCTCAACCAACCCTCTGGCTGCTCCTCTTCCTCAACAGGTAACAGGTAGCAGGACGTAAAGTGGCAGTTCTCTCATTTCTCTAGCAGCCAAGTGTCTGCTTTCATGACCTTGGCACCAGGCAGGAAACCAGTGCTTGTGTTTCTGAGCCCTGCCCTAGAAAGGTGGGTGCATGCTTGACAAAGCAGGAGCCCGAAACATAGGAGATTAAGTTCACTTGTATCTTTAAGAAGTTCCCTGTATCGAGAAAAGATTTCAAAGGAAGCAAATGAAAAATTTGAATGAGGATGGTCGAAGGGAATGACCTAATGGTAGACATCAAAACCGGCATTTCATATAAAGTCTATCATAATACATTCATTAATTCCTTTAAATATGAGCCTGGAGTGGAACACAAAAGCAAGGCCCTAAATGGGGTAATTATCCATGAAAATCATTTTAATATAGTAAAAAGCACTTGCATTTTGGCTACAAAAATCAAAATCATCCTATGCAGCACATTGTGGGATGAGTCCATTTACCATTATAGAATGGAGTCAAATTCAAGTGAGTGCCCTGTAAGATGAAGCTGGAAACGTAATCAGTAATTGCTGAGCCATCTATGACTCTGGCTTTTCCATATCTTGAGGAAGTCCTAGAAGTCGCTGTGAGTGGTTTACAGCTGACTCAATTCAGCATAATTGATACTTGCTTAAAGGAAAACGCCATCAGCCTTACTACTGCTAACATTCCATTAAGACTAAAAGTTAATTAGGCTGTGTTCCATAAAGTTAATTTGAGGCATTTGTCTCAATAGCATTATTGTAATTATTCCTCATCAAAATGAATATCACCTCCTACTGCGTGCCAATGTCTTGTGTAAACAACGGCAAAAATCCAACAACTTGAATTCCAATCCCCACTTAAGTTATTTATGTAGGTTTATGTTGATATAGAACTGCAAACAGGGTCTCATAGACATTAACATGTTTTTAAAGAATACAACAACGGCAGGTTTAAGATACCTTATTTTAAGTTTCCAAAGGTTATGAAAATAAAAGCAAACTAAATGGCATGACAAATTTCATATATCATAACAATACCAGTATAAGTCAAAGAGAAGCACTTATTCAACCTATTACATATGCCTGTGCCTAGGAAAAATGCCATAAAACGCTGGCTGGATAAGCACACAGCTGGTGGACGTTATGTGTCCCATGCACCTGCCACCTCCACTTCACAGCTGTGTTTCCAACCACCCTTCAGAAGGCTGGCAAGGTCTCGGGCATACAAGAGAAGCAGGGGCACCGAGACACCCACTGACCACATTACTAGTGACAAAGAACAGAGAAGTTAGTTTCCCTGACAAAATTTTCCTCAAGACTCTGAATGCTAATTAATCCCCTTAAATGACTTTTAAAACATTATATTTAGTAAAATATAGAATTTGTCAGAGAAATAAAACAAATGCATAAAAGAACAAAAGAAGAATGGTTTATCATATGGACTTACATATGTAAGATATGTAAGATATTGATTTCTTTTGGCTAAATGTTAATATCATGGGTAAAACATTTTTAAAATCATGCGTCAAGGGGAAAACTAAATTGTAATCATATTTTATTATCACTCTTTTGTTGGCATCACCAGTGGTCCAGTGATATGATCATACCGGAGTGGGAGGGGAAAATGAAAGGCAGGAGGGCTGGGGCTAGGAACATCCAGAAACATCAACCCCAGTTTAATCTTGGACATGGACAGCAAGTGCCCTTTCAACAGTGGCTCTCAAACTTGGCTGCACATGAGAAGCGCCTAAGAAGCTTTACACATCCCAATGTCCAGACTGTCCACCCCACCTCTCCCCCAAATCAAATCAAATCAAATCTAATCTCCAGAGGTGGGATCTAAACAACAGTTTTTTAAGCTCACCAGGTAATTCCAATATGCAGCCAAGTTCCAGACTCTGTGCCTTGTCTAGGAAAGGCCTCAGATGAAATGATTCTACTGTCAGATCCTGATTATGACATTTCTTCAATTCTCAGAGGAAAACAAAATATTAGTAAATAGTAGTGGGTCCAGTCATAAGCCAGGAGTTCAAGTTTCAGTATTGTCCCTCTTGACTTAGATGTCTTTTGAGCAAATCACTTGATTTCCTAGGACATAAAGGGGTTCAACACAATCTGTAAGAGCCAACTTAATCTTATGGTTTCTACACACTAATAGAGAAATACTTCCAAATGGGATGATTTGGCCAGGATTAGAAAGTCTGAGGTAAATCAATTATTTACTCTTTTTAAGTTTTCAAGAGCTAGACCCACCAGCAAAAACTGAGTGAATTCTGCATATGTCAGGTGTCTCTTTCTTTCTTTTCCAAAATGTAGTTGCACAAATTCTGAATCCCAATTAAATGGAATATGCTGATGAATTGTGGTCTGTTCAAAAACTTGCTTAACATCCTCTGAAAAGAGAAAAGAAAGGCTGATTAAAACAAAGCGAATCAGGTTCATCCTTATAAAATATTATTAAATGGATATCTCTACTTTCTTCTCATAAATAGTAACTCAACTTTTAAAATACATACAGATTATAAAACCATGGCAGAAATGAAAATCAGAATTCTCATGGAATCAGTCAAGAAATCAAAGTTAATAATCCCATCAAATAAAATAAAGGGGATACACACACACCCCTAAAAGGCAGTAGAAAACCAAACCAACATAATAAGCTATATCTCATATGCTTTGTTTTAACAAATATTATTTTCTATGCATAAGGGATATAATTCAATCTTTAGTGGCAGGAAACACATATAAATACAGAAACACATATAACACTATACAAATCTTAAATATAGTCCTTTGTCAAATTGTTGAAAAGTTTTTCCAGATTTAGAAATCAGTTAGATAAATCTTGAAGCACATATTCAAAGGCACTACGACTCTATTTGAGCTTTGGAAAGTTCCACTATTTATCAAGCCACACACCTGAAGACAAAGGTGATGGGAAGTAAAGCCAGGAACCTGATTCTTTAACTGCACACTGCACGTTTTTAGCTTGACAGAAGTTCTCATATGGTCCAAATATCCCATTTTAAGATGGGCTACCAAATGGGCTAATACTGATTTTTCACCTCTTTCTAGCCTTAACTACGAAATTGTCAGAGGACTGACAGAGAAAAGAAAACAATATGAAAAACCTTACTTTTCTAAAGCTCCATGTTTTTATTTACTGGTCTCCTCCACTCAAGAGAAGTGTGTGCTTGGAGGGTAGAGGGAACACAGATAATTATCATATTAATGAGTTTTGTCCTAGCCTTCACATTGTTAAATATAGCTACTAAATCTGCTTATTTTTATGAGCAAACTGTGCTTGATACCTTGTTTTTTTCCCTCCTCTTTTGCTTCTATTTAAAAAAGAAAAAGAAAAAAGTTACTTAGTCCTAAAGGGTGCCAAAAACTTTGGCACATGTTTCTACTTTTCCCCCCAAATTTCCCACTTCCACCCCCATTCCACCCACAAGTTTTCATTCCATGCTTTTAAAGTTTCCAGACATTTTTAAAGTTTTGCCGTGAAGAAACAGTAGTGCCACCATCAGCATAAGGTTGGGTGTGTATTCGTACAGAGAAGGCAGTAAAAATCAGAATTATGCCAGCCATAAATTTTATAAAAGGTGGCAGAAAACCTCAGGCTGGCCCTGATGAGGACAATAAAATAAAAAATTTTAAAGCACAACCCTCGATTTCTTTGAATTCATTCTGTCTTCCCTACTTTTAGGGAAAAAGAGACGGCACATAAAAAAAAAATGAAGTGAATCAAGAATTGAGAATTGAAAGAAAAAAAAAAAGGGCAAGACTCCCAGAGGATCTAGGGAGGGTCAATAAAATGAATTAAGTAGGAGACTCTGCAAGTTTCCTTTGGCTCTAAAACACCTGAGCGCACTTAGCACGAGCCAGGTATCGTTCTCAGGGCCACTATACGTGTAAGTCTTCAGCGGTAAAAATAGATACCAACCTAGATAATACGTAGCTCCTTTCCAGCTCGCAGTTTTTATTGCTCTCTATAAAGCAGGCCCAACAGAGGTTCAAGGAAGGCTCCCCCGATCTCTTTTTTTCTAATGCATTGGTTTCAGGTGTACAATGGCTAGACATTTATATAGTTAAGTGATCCCCTCGATTACTCCAGCACCCCTTTGGCACTACACACAGCCCCGGCAATAATACTGACAACATTCCCTATCTGTGCTCTACATTCCCGTGACCGTTTTGTAACTACCAATTTGTACTTAGTCATCTTTTCACTTTTTCCACCCACTTTTCCCACAATCTTCTAATCTAGACCAAAAAATTACCTAATGAGAAATAATGTTCAAATGACAAAGATGTGACCAAAAGGAAACACACAATTTTTTTTTACACTATAAATAAAATTTTACACTATAATAAAATTTTAGAGAAATAATAGACAAATAAACAAAAATGGTGGCTTTCTGGCCATTTTTCTGCCAAGCATTCTGGTGAAATAAAGATTTCTTTTTGCCAAGTATTCTGATGAAACAAAGTTTTACTGTAATAATCATAAGATAGCTGTCAAAAATGAAGTCCTTCTTTTTCTTGACCTCTCCTTCAATGTCCCACAGAAAATAACAGAGGGTATTAACTAAACATTAGCATATAAGGCCAAGGCACTTATATGTTTTAATATTTATATGGTCTATACTATAAATATATGTACATAAATTTAAGTTACTCAGAAATTAGTGAATGAATTAAAAATGCACCTCACTCTAACTAGCAATCTTATTTTTCCTATAATGTAACTAACATTGACTGCTTGCTAGGGATCCGACTTGAATTCAACAGTGTGAACTTTGAAAAGTTTAAAGATTTTTCTACTATTCTACTGAGCTTGTCTCCCTTAAGCAACTGCCTGTCTGAAATATTGAAATCTAAGTTATACTAAAGTAAAGCTATATGTGATCCCTAAGACATATCTCAGCTCTACAAACTGTCAATCTTATAGACCTGTACTATTTATAATAAAGTTTTTAAAAACACATCTCTCTATAGTATGTATATGTATGCAGATATGTGTGTGAGTACACATATTTATTATACATCTTTTCTTTCCACACAGATTATTAGCACCTTGGGAGCAAAGGCCTTATTTTTCACATCTGATTCTCCCACTGTGGCTGCAGAGTGGAGGGCGTAGAGCAACTACTCACTAAGTAGTGGTCAAATTTAAATGAGTCAGAAAAGGTTTACAGTTGTGCTACAGGTTAAGGACGGTGGTACTAACCCTTTGAGGTACTATAGTTTCCCCCTTACGGAGAAGCTATTTCAACAGTCATTTTCTAAGATTTTAGTGTAGAACATAAGAATTATCAGTCTTGCTAATGAAAGGCTCCAGCCCCACTCCTAGGCTCATTCCAGTCTACTGTGGGGGCTGAAGAATCTGCATTTTAACCAGTGCCCCAGGTTTTTCTGACACATGGGTCCAGGATCTCATTTTGAACAACACAGTCCTAAAACGTTATGGAAGGGTTAGATTCGCTCCTCACTAATTTTTAACTTCCCAGTGAAACAGACAAAAATATTAAAGGAAGGAGGTAGGAAAGACTCCCCAGATCAGCCAATGCAATGAAGTAATGTGTAAACACAGGCCTCTTGTAGATGCAAGAGGACACGCAGGGCTGCCATGCTGTACAAACCAGTGGATAACATTCACTTCATGGCCTACGTGACTGGCACTCCCTGGAGTTGGACAGCTTACAAACTACATGACCCTGAGAATGTGGCCCATTAGCAGTTGTCAGCTGTTCTAACACACGGGCAATTATAAGAATGCCAGTCCTTAGCTAGCTATCAAATGCTAAGTAGCACAATTCATGAGCACTGTACCCTGTGGGAAGTGGAAGCCAGGTGGAAGGCATGGTGCTGTATCCAAGTCTAATCTGTAAGAAGGAGCTGAACAACAGATATCCAAGCAATATACTGTATTAGGAGCTAAAGTGCAGGAGTTCCTCATGGCAAAGAAAGAGAAGTGTAAAGAGGAAGGCACTTGCAGAAGTGGGAGAAAACAGCTTCCTGGAGAAGGTAAAACTTGACCTGGGTCCTGCAGGCTGTTGAGATTCATTCAAATGGATCAGTAAGAGAGTTGCTCAGTGAAGGACAACAGCATGAGGAAGAGTTCACTTCTTCTGAAGTGAATTGAGGGTCCTGGGGTCACTAAGACATGACAGACCCTGCTCCACACAGTTAGAGATGTGTTGAAATCACTTGCCAGTAGCAAATATCATTATTTTTAAACCCCAAGAACTCGATCCTACATTGATGATGAAGAAAATGTTACTATGTGAAGAACAGCTAGTCACAGGACTCTAGAAAAAAAGGCCTGGAGTTTTTCACACTTGATACAATATCTACAAAATGTATTTTTCACTCTTCTAACTTGCCTAATAGAGGTTTACGTACTCAAATATCCTAAGATTGTCAAGCTGTTCTAATTGGACAAACTAAATGATATGAGCAAGAGGAAATGGGTATTATTGGTAAAGAGGAAGACTAGCGATATGTCTACTAATTTTCATGGCTAATCATCTCTTTTAAAGCATTAAAATAGTAAATTTTGTCACTCTAGAAAAGACACATTTTCTCCAAAAATATTTTATAGGTTCATAAATCATTCTGGGGCATCCATTATCTGAAATACTTGGTTTCTACATTTTCCTGTAGGTTCACGAGTAGAAACAACATCTGTAAGTCCGAGAGTCACATGGGTTCTGGGAATTTCACTCCTTGTTATGGAAGACACTACAGTATCACTTCGGGTTAATACTCTTTTTGTCCTTTTAAAAGACATGAATAGATTTCTCACTTATCATTTGATTGTTTAAAATTTTGCCATGCCTCGTGAGGCAATGAAAATCAGAAACGAAAAACCAAAGTGATTTTCGAATTCTGCTCTGTACTCTGGCTCCCATGAAAAATTCCGTGAGCTTTACCATCAAAGACTCCAGTATCGACCTTGGGGCCACGCTGTCACTAGACCTTTACCATTCCCTGACTTTTCCAAATCAAACTTACAGTCCTGGAGAGGAAAGAGGAAATCAAAATGTTCTGGGATTTTTGGTTACTTACTTGGTTCACTGAACTATACATATATACACCACTCATAACTCACAGCTGACGGCTTTCAAATAAGCATGATTGGCAGATCTATCACTAGCTAAAAATAATTAGAAGAAGGTCTCTCCTAGCCTAAAACACAAGGTCTTAAAATCTTACCCCCAGGTTGAGGTCCTATAGACAAAGTAACAAAACTAATTAGCACTGGAATATGAGTGAAGCACTAGATATATATTTTGGATATTTAAAGTCATATTTTTCATAGCTTATCCACTCTTCCTGAAAGTAAAAATAAATTAGAATGCTTATCTCTTAAAGTATAATCACTGTT